ACCGATAATCGAAAACTTCTGGTCGACGGATATCTTCTACTCGCGAATCCAAGGTTTCACAACCATAAAGCGGGACTGAACGAACGCTAGCACAATATAAACGACCTTTCAATTTCAGTGAAACGTCGCGTCTACGCCAAAGGTGTTTCAGTCCTGCCTATGCTGCTCGAGCCTTGGAAATGCAGGCGGTTATCTCCTTTGCTGCGCTACCGTCATTGGTCAAGCAACTAACTAAGTAGGAAAAGCAGTCTAAAATAAATAATTATTGATCATTTAGCTTCAGAACGGAGGTAGGCGACACCCAATCATGGAGCATCACTTTGCACTTCGGAGGTGCGAAACACATGCCGTATGTGGCAGTCGCACTTGTTAATCTATCAAGTGCGCTTTGCGCGTCCCCCATACCTTAGAACAGACATCATCAGCGTACTCCAAATCGCGCAGCTTTTCCCCAGCTCTTCATTCAATATCTACGTCTTGGTGTCCCCTTAGTGCGCTCTTCAGTATTTCGTCTACGACGAAAGTGAACGGGAACGGCGAGAAGGCATCCTTGACGGACGCCGCTGCTGGTGACAAACGGCCTGTTTAGATTGTTATAGACCCTTACACGACCGGAGGTATGTGAGTACAGTGACCTCAGTAGGTTAAAGTACTTCTAGGGCATCCCTTTTCGAACAAGGCAGCCTATCAGAGTTTCGCGGTCAACAAAGTCAAAGGCTCTTTTCAGTTCAAGGAACACTGCATCGTTGACCGACGGTGAGTATGACGCAGCTCAAGGATCTGACGCAACGTAAAAATTTGATCAATACATCCACCGCCAGGCCGGAATCCGGCTTGCTGTTCACGGATGTTGGCCTTCCTAAAGGCTTCAAACGTCGAAGTATGATCAAAGCTAGCACTGGTGACGATCGGGATCAAACTTATCCCGCGGTGGTTTTCGCAATCGTTGCGGGATACTTTATTGAAAATGGGAACGACCAGTGATTCATCCCAAGATGAAATGTGCTCTTGTATCCAAATGTTGCGCAGTAGGGTTGTAATAAGGGTTACGAGATTATCACCCCCCCATCTTAAAAAGAATGGGAGGGAGCTCATCAGGTCCTGCTGCCTTTCCTCACTTCAGAGCTTGAATGCAAGACCGAACTTCCGTTGGAGGATCGCATGACACTATCTACGGAGCTTCCGTTATCACTAGGCCGTCTGAACTGTTCGCTAAATTATTCTGCCCAGCGATCGAGTCGTTGATCCCTATTGGGAATAACTCGTCCTCTTATCGCAAACTGTTTCACTAACTGGGGTTCACCGACCTCCCGTGTTGCGTATCAATCGGAACAGTCTTTACCTATTCCCTGGTGCAGCTGCTACTTCCATTTCACTAGCTATTGTTGCTAATCAGTTCTCACGGTCCTTCATAATATCTTCACTCCGTAGAATTCTGGAACACCGCTACAAGTTCCAGCAGCCCACCACTGCATGTTTCATTGACGTCCGCGCTGCGTTTGACTCTGTCGATAGGGAATCCTTGTGTATTGCGGTCCGACGGGATGCCTGAGAAGTTCATCAGGCTTTCAAAGTCATACTATGCAGGAACCCGGGTACGCGTCCGTACCTGTGGAGGAGAATCAGCGAAGTTTACCCTAAGTTCTGGAGTTAGGCAAGGTTGTCCCCTATCGCCGGTGTTCAATTACACCATAGAGTGGATTATGCGACATGCACTCATCGACTACCCCGGAGTGCAGCGTGGCCCAGGTACATGGATTGCGGACCTCGAGTTTGCGGATGATGTGGATGATGACGGCAGCTTGAATAACCTCCAGCCTATTGTCAGTTGTATAAATCAGTTTGCCCAGTCCATTGAGCTAGAGATCAACACGTCGAAGACATTTTCGACCGAAACTTCTATCATGGCACAACCCCTCTTGATTAACGGGGAGCCTGTCGAATCAACCGAAGTTTTCAAGTATCTTGGCTCTATGATTAGACCAAACGGCCAGGCTAAGGATGAAATCCAACTCTGTGTAGATGGAGTTGAAAGAGCCTTCCTACAACTCAAACCTTTGTGGAATCGATGCGAAATAAGCCTGAACACTAAGCTTCGGGTTTATCAGGCTTCCATGCGTCCTATCCTCACCTGGCCGTTAAGAGTACAAGATAAAAGGGAGCTGGGAGTCTTTGATCATTGGTGCTTACGCCACTTCTTAAAAGTTAACGAGAGAGATAGGCACTGGTTGAACATCAACAAGCTATCACAAATGCTACAACACCGGCGCTTTCAGTGGTTTGGCCATGTGCTCCGAAGGCCCGACACTCAACTCTCGCGATAGGCTGTAGCCCCCGCACCGTACCGTGAATGGCGTTGTCGACTCGGTGGTCAACTGAAAACCTGGATGAGCACGATCAAGGCGGATTTGGAATTACTGGGTCTTCAATCCGCATATGGAATTCGCAACTGGAAACCAGAAGTGGGTTTCTCACTGCGCCAACCTTGCTACCGATCGTCATGCATGGGCCGCCATCATTAGAGACATCCAGGAAGCCGACTTNGCAGGAGTTAGTCGATCAAAAGTAAAAGGGATGAGACTTAGTAATCAGAAGGGCCGGCAGTTCTCTCTAAAGACATGATGCCTAAGCACGGGAACTTTGAGTAACGAACTGGTTCATACCCGAATAAGATGCGTGTGGCTTTTAACCAGGCGACAGCGATGCTGTCTACCAGCAAACTTCGGTTCAAGTATCAGATCTTGGAATCCGAAGCACTCCAATGGCAGCTACTTCATGCGTTTGGTCCACACCAACCTTTTCTAGATAGATGACATTGATCCTAGTCCAGTTTTCAGACCGATGCCAGCGCGTGCATGTATGTGTAATTTTTAAGTTCCACTTACCGCACCGCGATGATGTCCACCGCTCTCGATCGTGGGCGTCTATCGGGAATGTGGTCTGATGCACTTTTGTTTCACACCTAACGCACTGGGGTGTACTGTTTATTAAAAATAAAATCCGAATATGTTCAATTTGAGAACCACTTCAACACATTGAAACATCTAGCACCCGATAACGCTCAGTTCGTCGATGTTTCCAACGTAGTACACTTGAGACAATCAGCGGAATTATCACGAGACTGCATCTTGACGTTTTGTGATATCTCTTTTGTCTGTATGACGGCGAGCTTTGTCGTAAAGCTGTTCGCGGTCACGGACAGAAATGCAACCAGAACGTTGATGGATAAAGTACGATAAAGCTCAGTCCAACAAGACCAAATATATGAGTAGCTGATGGTTTTCCCTTTGATCACTGTAATGGGCTTGAATGATTGATCGGTGAACGAGAAAGAAAACAGGGAGCCGGAAATGAGGCTTTTTCTAACAATATAAATACACCGACTACATTAGAAATATAAAACTACATTATCAGTTAACAGTGGTACCGTGGTATAATGGTCCAGTCTAACAAAACCACAACAATCACCTAAGGTAGATTCAAGAGGCCGCTTGTCAACCAGTGGGGAGCAGTTTCACAAGTAAAACCTGCTGGATGACTGGGGAACCTAAGCTTTCACTTCACGACAGGAGGAATTCTTTGCCTTTTTCCGGATTTTCGCCACACCTTTTAATTTCACATTTTTATTGTGATTAATAGAATTATCTAAAAACCGGCTCGAACNGGATACGCTCCAGTAAATACATTGTTGTTAAAAACTACTAATGGCATCTAGTATCAACCTATCCATCCGTTCCCCAGGCGATTTATCGAGTCGATTATGCTAAACTATCGTGTCTCCGATGTTGGCCTCTTTGTTCGCGCTTTTTATAGCCCTTATCAGATGCCGTAACAGTACTGTTAAACGGTTCATATTTTTTTCTCGTTTCAGTCCATACACGAAGACGTTTACGAACTAAAGCTACCCAAAGTTGATATCTCGAATACAGCTTACGCGTCTTTGATCAACAAATTCAAAAAAGTCAACGAAGCGTAAGTCTTTCAGCTTACTAC